AAATAAATTCACAACTAGAAATTATACAAAAACAACAATTAGAAATCCAAAAGATGAACAACAAGATTTCAGAAATGGACGGTGTCATAGAAGGGCTGAGGAGCAGATTTGAAACAGTGGAAGACAGGATCAGTGGAATTGAAGATAAACACTTGGATACAACTCGGGTTGAGGAAAAATCAGAAAAAAGAACAAAGAAAAATGAAGAGACCCTGAGAATTACGTGGGATACAATCAAAAGCAAAAATCTGTGACTGATCAAAGTTCCAGAACAGAGTGAGAAAACAGAAGACACAGAGAGGATCATTGAAGACTTGCTGACAGAAAACTTCCCCAATATCATGAAAGATGACAAGCTGACTACCCAAGAAGCTCAACGAACCCGATATAGGATAGACCCCAAAAGAAAATCACCAAGGCATATCATAATCACACTCGCTAAAACCATAGACAAACAAAGAATCCTGAGAGCAGCTCAAGAAAAACAAAAAGTCACGTACAGAGGAGAAACAATAAGACTAAGCTCAGATTATTCAGCAGAAACCATGCAGGCAAGAAGGCAATGGGATGAGATATATAAAACCTTGAAAGAAAAAATTGTCAGCCAAAAATAATATATCCTGAAAAACTCTCATTCAAATATGATAGCAAAATTAGGTCATTTCCAGATAAACAGAAATTAAGGGACTATGTAAAAACCAGACCACACTTCCGAGACTTATTAAAGGAAGTCCTTTGATCTGAGAACAAACAATATCAGACCACAGGCTGAATATAGGATGCAGGATTGTGCTAGCCAGATACCAACCTAGGAAATGAACTCTTAAAGACTATGCAAAACCAAAAGAATTACAAAAGGAAACCAGAGAGGTAAATCTGTAAATGACAACAGCGTCAGAACAATAAAAGAGGGAATAAACAGTGTAGATATAGAACCTTCTAATGGGAAGGAGGTCAAGCGTACCAAATAATAATAGACTGGTTCAAATCTAGGAAGATAAGGGTAAATTTCATGGTAACCACAAAGAAAGTTAGCAAACCTACTCTTCAGAATAAAGAAGAAAAACATAAAGTCTCAGTAAAAACAAAACCTACGAAAACAAAAGTAATGAAAAAAAATCCACAAACAAAATGAACTCAACACAGGAGAGAAAGAGAAATAAAACTGGAGGACATTATGCTGACTGAAATAAGTCAATCACAAAAGGACAAATATTGTATGAGACCTCTACTGTATAACTCATG